GTTATTTTAGATAACACAGTGGCACTTCGTTTGATAAGAAATCCAGCCTTATTTGTTGGATTGCATTTCAAACACTGCAGAACAAACTGAGTTTTGATAATCAGGGAATTGAAACATGTCATTTTATCTTGCGTTAATTTCAAACAAAGGGACCTAAGTCTAGTTTTGATTGAGCCTATGCTACTTTGTTAAAGATTATTTGCCAAATCAATGAAGCACATGTTGGAACTAGCACTGTCTCCTCTCTTGCAATGCCAGAATCTCACCTACTTTTAACCTAAGACTGTCACAATGATGTAGCAAATGTCAGACTGCTTTTGTCTTTCAGTTTTGACTTGACTATACAAGACATAATAGATTTTCCTAACAATCAACATATAACGAACCGAAAACCGTGACCACAAAACCGTGACCACAAAACCGTGAACCGAACCGTGGATTTTGTGAACCGTTCCACCCCTAGGGCCTACCAGATGTCAGTGATGGGGCCCCTAAGAGGTTTTGGGCCCATATATAAATGCTGTCTCTTCTTACCGATGTTTACACCATTTGTTGTTTCCCACATGGGTGTTGAAGTCCCCCAACAGACCCAATCCCCCCTTCTCCAGGGACGCTGAGAAGGCCTGGAACTCTGTACCATAGGCCAAAGAACCAGACCACCAGGTGCTCGCAATGTACCCCAACCCCAGGCCTGGCCCCAGAATCAGGTCCTGGCTCTGCTGTACCAGGCAACGTCACAATCCTCCATTTGTTTGTCTTCATGGGGAGTTTTGTCTGAGTCTGACCAGTCACCAAGAGTCCTTTTGCCCTGGGGGACCCTAGCAGGAGCATTTAAGCCCCTGAAAACATAGCCTTTGAGATCGTCAAGGCATGAACCCCCCCCCACCACCACCACATTAAAGAGGCAGTTCAGGGGGGGTCAGGAAAATCAAAAACTCTGAAAAGAATAGCTGTCAGTGGTAAAACATTCAGTCCTTTGACGAAGCAAGGCTTAGATTACTCAAAGCAGTGAAACAGTCTCAATCCAATCATCTAATTTGTTTGATCTTCCTTTTCTTTTTGCATTTTGTAAAAAAAAGAAATCTTCCAACACTTCTTTGTAGTATTAAACATGAAGCACTTTTCTTTCTTCTTTTTTTTTAGAGTTGAAACACCTGGACAGCATTCTTCCATCCCTCCCCCACCTTATCCGAAGAAGCCCTCCTCCTCCCCAAGTGTAGAGGTGAAACCAAGCAAGCCGGTTGTCCATGCTCCTATCCCCTACCATCCCAAACCCATAAAGAGAAACCCCGTTCCTCTGCCCTGGTCCCTTCCAGAATGCGCTGACTGGCTGTCTGTGGCAGCAGCAGCCGGTTCCAACCAACCATCCCAAACCTCTCCCAGTAGGGTTCATCTGCAACGCTATCCTAACTTGGTTGCCCCAATCTCTCCATCCACCACCAGACGGCCTGGTTTTGGTTCTCTGTGGCAAAAGCAAATCGTTCCTCAGGCCCCTAAAGAACCAACAGTGGTGTTCACATTCAGGATGCCAAATAATGCAGAGAATGAAGCAAAACCTCCGGAGAAAAAGGAAAGTCCACCTCCCAAGGTTCAGAAAGGGTCTGGAGAAGAGCTTAGAGACGGCTGTGATGGGCCTCTGGACCTCTCCGATCGAGCAAAGCCTACAACTTACCAACCTGCAAATGATGATAGTCCCACCACCTTACAATGTGAGAGGAGCTTACAGGGGAGTCCGGAAAGAAATGTGAATATGCAGATACCAGTGTCCTCACCTTCAGTGGCCAACCTACGGTCCTCCTCCACCACAGCAGTCAAACAGCAAGAAGAAGAACCAAGCAATGACTGCAACCAAGAGGTGAATTCATTTAAGCTTCTACACATTACACTTAAAAGAACTACAAGGAACAAAAGGGTGTAACGATGATGTAATCACTGTAGGTCAAAGAGCAGGAACAAGTAGAGGAATCAACTGGTAAAACAGAGCAGAGCAACGGGAAAAAGGTTCCTGTCCTCACTCTGTCACTACGTCCAGGTAAGAAGGTCAAACTTCATTCGTATTTCAGGACAGATTAGAATGTGCTGCACGGAAGATTACAGAAATGTCTCCATGTCTTGAACTAAATTATGTTTAATGAATGCTCTGCATCACTCATTTCGACCCCTTGTTTTTGCGATCTTGTCCTCTCGGTCATTACCCAGATCTCATGACCACAGGTGAGGGTGGGAACGTAGATTGATCGGTAAATCGAGAGCTTTTCCCCCCGACTCAGCTCCCCTTCACCATGACAGTCCGATACAGCAACTGCATCACTGCCGACGACTCACCGATCCGTCTAACTGTTTCACGCTTCATCCGAGATATATAACAAGTTCTAAAATGTAGAGTAATGCAATGAGAGAAAAAAAGATATTCCTTCATCATTCTCGGGTCTTTCTATGCCTCTTTGTTCGTATGGGCCATAGGCAGAAGTTCACAAACTGAACACCTGTAGGAAAAAACCCTGTTAGGGATATTTATGGAAGTTATGAACAGAAACTCACAGAAATCGAATTTTATGGACAATCTGAACAGGATTAAGCTAAAGGCTGCTCAAAGCAGAATGTGTTCTAGTCAAGGAAGCTTAATTATAATCTGGTCCAGGTCAGCTCTCCTCATCATCTGCAGGAAGTAGAAGTGCTTCTGGGCCCTTTTGACCAGTGAGGTGGTTTTTCCAGTCCAGGTGAGGGTGGCTGTAATGTGCATCCACAGGAATTTTGCGCTGCTGACCAGGGTGAGTTGTAGTCTGTGATCGCTGTATGCCTTTTCACATCCTCCTGGCGTTGCTGGCATCATGGAAGAGATCCTGGATCTTCTGGCTGTGGTTCTGCTTTGCTGATCTGATGGCACAGTTCAAGTTGGCTTCGCTGTCCTCAGAGCCACTCTTATCACCAGGCTTGAAAGCTGAGTTCCGTGCTTTTAGCGATAACCAGACCTCGCTATTAATCCAGGGTCATTGCTTTGCCCGGGTGGTGATGTTCTTTGTAATGCTGACATCCTCAATGCATTTGTCAATTTAGCCTGACACAGTCATGACATACTCATCAATATTTATCTTGTTGTTAAAAGGTTCTGCAGCTTTAGTCAGAGCATTCAAAACAGTCCTTTAGTTTCTCCATGGCCCCCTCAGACCACACTCTGATTTCCTTCACTGTTGGTTTAACCCTGATTAGCTGGGATTGTATGCTGGAATTAGCATGACGGAGAGGTGATCTGATGACCCGAGGTGCTCTGAATACATCTCTGTCTGAGTAAAACTGTTCTAAAGTGTTATCATCCTGAGTTGCAAAGTCCAGATGTTGGTAGAAATGAGGGAGCACAGTCATAAACCATTTGCGACCATTTTCACTTTTCAAACTCATACAGAATATTATATCTGTTGGACATTTTAAAACGTGTTCAGTTTTGAATTTTAATCACCCACAGCCAAAATCGTGTTAACCTCTGCAGCAGTAACCTCCATTCTTTTCTAACACGAGGAACATTATGATGACTAAAGGATCATTGTCACAAATGTTCGATTAAAAACTGAAAAATAACCCAAATTATGTCAGATTTTACACTTTAGCTTTAATATGTTAACTGGAAAGGCTCTAAATGTCAAAGCACTCGACGTAACCACACTTTAAAGAAGCTTTACGCTCTGCCAAACATTCTTCTCTTAGTTCTTCCTCCTGCCAAGCTTGACAAACTAGCTTTGAATTTAGCCTATACACATGAGAGCACAAGAATCTGTCTTGAAAATCAAGTTCTAGAAATGAAGGCAGTTATTTACTGTGTCGGCTCTACATGCAGTCTCCGATCATAAATCTTTGCAGTATTATGACTGGATTCAGCCATGGATTGTCCAATATCACATAACCATTATATTAAAGCCTTAACCTCTAGCCAGATGTTTGAAAAGAACAATAAACTTATACATTCTTTGTATCCTCTGCGTCTGACATTAGAATAGTGACTCTCCAGTCGTGTGAGAATATTTCAATCAGGCCGACTTTTAGCCTGATGGTGCGTGGTGTACAGGGGGTAACGAGGGGCGATCGGCCTCTAACGACCACCTCCCCATCAGGAATCGTAAGGTCGGGAGAAAAATCAAACATATTTAAAATGAGTCGTCCGTCTTAAGGTGGTTGTGGGCAAATCGCTCAGTGGGCAAACAAGGATTCTTCTTCTTCCTCTCTGAGGAAAACCCATCAGCATGGCGGGGGTGCAATGAGTAAAATAGAGTTCTTTCTGTAAAATTGACAGACTGTAGTGGCCACTTTAGCTCAGCCATGTCTTTGTCCAAATACGTCGTCTCCTTTTCTTTTTAGGGCTTTCAGCACAAAATTACCCAAATATCCAAGGCAGCGCGTTTCACTCTAGTGAGCTTCATGTTCCTCTTCAACATATTCTCATTATCAGTGCGTATGAAATCGTACGAAAAGTTATGCACACTATTTCGTATGTTTTGGATGTTTTTCCTCAAAAACCACATCAGTGCGCATGCGCTGGCGGACAGAAAAAAAAAAAAGCAGATCTGCGGACGGACGAAAGCTGGGAAAAACAGTGCAATCAGCACTTATTCATGTCTCTAACTACGTTGCTTGCTGTTTTATATCTTAGGGTTAGGGTTAATTGTATGTTAAATTCTATGTTATTGAATGGTGTGTAAGATACGCATGCGCATACGACGAAAATAAAACATCCAAAACGTACAAAATTACGGTGCATAACTTTTCGTACGCATTTCATACGCACTCATAATGAGAATAGGTTGTCCTCTTCTACTCGTTTGGCTTCCAGATAGACGAGTCCCAGTAGCGCCATCTCACTGTGGAGCTGAGTCACACCTGGTTTTTAGACGTACAGTGTGAGCAGGTAGATCGCATCAGACCGTCGGGTCGCACAGTTTGAGGACAAACGTTGTGAACGTTGTGAACTTTTAAACCGTGCGGTTTGGTCATACAGTGTGAGCTGTAGCTGTGTGATTGAAAATATCGGGCAGTGTATCCCCGGCTTTAAGGAAATATCTGTGTTTCTACCTTGCAGCTTTCTCTCCTCGATTCTTTCCCATGTGAAACTCTTTAAATAACACATCATGATGTTTATGTATTAAGTAACCAGAAGACAGGTTACAGATTTAGACAGACAGAAATTGTAATCTAACTTAGACCAGAGAAGTTACTTAGAGTTACAGAACGCAGCGCTTAGCAACCAGGATCACATTCTGTCGCCGTCCACGTACGTCTTCTCCCTCAGTCACCCTCAAAATACAAGCTGTCTTTTAACATAAACAGCTTCCTTCACACCCCTTTCAAACCAACTGTCTGCTTTAGGTTTATCTCTTTAAAAATCAACCTTAAACAGGGGGAGTGGACTCAGGTTTCAGCTTTCAAAAACCTACAATGCAGCGATAGCGTTGATCCCTTCCCGCTATCATCACAACCCCCATCGCTATGCAGAGGAAGAAAATATCTCACCAGGTCAGCCAGGCCAACAATGACCCTTAACGACTGCCTTTGTAGAGGAACGGTCCAGTATTGAGCATTGCAGGCCAATAACGACCTGAACGACTCCCATTATCAAGAGGCGGAGCTTGTTTTTCAGCTTCAATTTGCACATTTTCTAAGCCATTGCAAGGCTTTTGTTGGGCTATTCTATAAAGCCTGGAACTCTATTCTATTTCTGACTTTTGAATTGAAAAAAATGTCCTTGATGGGAAGAGAAACATCTTCAAACTTGGAAACAAAGTCCAGTGGATTGTTTTTAGCTTTAACTTTTTGGAATGACTATGACCTGGATGACTGAGGCCCCGTCCACACGAAGTCAAACCCTGGCCTAAACACAAACATTTTTCACCAAACCAGCCTCTCATCCATACCAAGCCGGCGTTTCGGGGGCCGGAAAACAACCTTTTTTTAATCAACCCTCAAAAGGGGAAAAATTTTGAAACGCCGTTTTCGCGTTTCCATCTTTAAGCTCTAACCGCTTTTTTTTTTTTTACACGCATTCGTCATAGCGTTGCCTCTAAACACGCATGCGCCACACAGTATCACAACAACAATGGCGCCGTACTGTGTTGAATGGTTGCTGCTCATGCTACTCACCCTGCTGTCGGGCTTACAACAGAATCTTCTTCTTCTGGAATATCTCCAGGAAGAACAGAGCAATATCGACCACATAGTTCAGCACCTCAATTTTCCGGTTTTCCGGTTTGGTGGTTGTAAAATATTACTGCGCATGCGCAACATTTCGTTGCCTGTTTTCGCCTGTTTTTGCTTTGGCACCACAGCGCCACTTACAGGCCTGGCATACATTTTGCAGCGTTTTCATGCATTCGTGTGGACGATCACATTTATTTTACGTCTCCGTCTTTACGACAAACGTTCTGGAAAATATTAGCGTTTCGTGTTCGTTTTGACTTCGTGTGGACGGGGCCTGAGAATCTCCACCAGCGACTTGATCCGTAGAGTTGCTAAATCCAACAAAGCTGCTGTTAAGTTTAAGGGACACAGACTGAATAATTCAGGTTATGTTAAGGTTTTCTTTGTCAAAGTTTCAGGTAACTTGTCCTATTTGTATCCAGTCTAAAGTCCTGAACGCATCGGTTGCATACGACAGATTTTTGTGAGGCTTTTTTCTCATCGTTTTTGCACCAGTCCTGCTTACTATTTAGGTGATGTGTGACTCCAAACTGACTCTTTCTCCGTGAGATTAACAGATTTTATTTTTATTTTCCTCCAAAGCAGTTGTGTTTTACCTTATAGCCACGTCTGTCTTCCTGTCAGACCCATGAAAGTGCTGCTGAATTGCTGCGACTAAAATCGACCTGGAGTCTCAGTTGGAGCTACGCCCTCCCCTGCTGGAAATCATCCCCACTGAATTTCAATAAGTGCTAAACGCTACGACCTCATCTGACACAATTTTCTGTCGGATCGGAAGCAAAACCAGAATCTGTGTGTTCTGGCCTTTAGTGTAACAGATAACAGATCTAGAATTTATTAACTGTTATTCTCCTGAATCATTCCCCCTTCTATGACCAGTATCGCAGCACTATCTGAGGGCGGAAACATGTTGATCTTCATAAAGGCTTGTTGAGCTATGCATGTTTTTGCTGGTCAGTATCTGTGTCCTACGTTGTGAAGAAAAGGGAAGCAGAACAAATTGGTTCGTTTTTGATAAATGTTCAGGAGATGAAAATCACATTTTATGCATTAATGTTTAACTTTTATTTTTCCATAGCAGTGGTAAGGCTGGAGACCCTAACATCTGCACTTCATAAGCAAGAGTCTTTATCATCAAATGGCAAGGTAATCCCAACCCAGACAGGCATCAGATTGTGTGGTTTCACCACTGCAGACATAAATGTTAACATTCAGCGTCTCTTTATTCTGACTTGTAGCAAAAGCGTCCGTCTGTGAGTCCGTGTGCATCCTCTGCTTCGGCACAGTCCTCCTCTTCGGCCACCGAGGCAGAGAGCAGTTTGGACGAGCAAGAAGACAAGAGTGGGTCGGGTCAAGAGAGCAAGAAGGACTGCAAGAGGAAGAGACAGCGTGTGGAAAAAGACACTGACAGAGAATCAGACACGATCAGTAAGCAAGAGTTTATCTTCAGTCCCTGAATGTAAGAAGTGTGTGGATAAGTTGGGTTACTGTTAAAGGCACACTATGCAACATTTTTCAGTTAATTAACGTGTTCCATAACATTTTGGATGATTAAATGAGTCATTTCAGGTCGAACAAAGGTTTTCTCGGCCGCCCTGGTGGTCTGTAGGGGAAATACCGTACTTGCAATTGCAGGAGCCCTCGGCCCGCACCCACAGGCTCAGAAGTCTTGTGCATCGCGAAAGTCGGTCTTGCTTTACGGCGAGAACTGCTACACGCCCCCAGTGAAAGGCATGCTCGTTGCTAGCGCAGTGGCGATATTTGTGCAGTTATCATGGCGGAACCAGCGGGAAAACAGCGAAATTTTCAAACTCAAAAATTGGAACAAAATAGTCACTTACTGCAGTAGACATGGTGATTGGTTGCGTTCGCCTGTCTGCTAAGCTCAAAACAACCGCGCCTGGCTTGACGGAGAAACCAGGAGAACAGCTGAGCATATTTACGACGGTGCACTTTTACTTTCGCCCTCTGGGGGGAGCCTCTCTGGAAAATCAACACTGGTTGCATAGTATACCTTTAAACAATTATGACTAAAGGAAATGGAAAAAAGAGACCAGCCGCCTGGGAGTCAACTTTCAGCCAACTTTCTGCTGCAGTTTGAATAAAAAAAAAATACAAATTTACAGCAACTTAATTTTCATTTCAAGCTGCTTTATTGATGAAAAGCTGGAGCGTGTAGCTCTAGGTGTGAACAGGTTAAGTAAAGGTTTCTTGCTGCATCTCTGCTGCTGCATCTTAACTTCCTACCTTGAAATATTTATAAAGCTGCAATCGCATCCTTCGTCTTCCACATCTGCTGACTAAACTAAAAGCTCATTTTACATGAAAATAACAAAGGAGGTTCAATAAAACATCAAATCCAGTGAAGTCTCTGAGGTAGGTGATTGTATGATGTGCCTGTGTTTACTGGAACACAATTGCATTTGGATGAGGGGAACAAAGTGTGGGGTTTTACCTTAGCAGTGATGCTAGTGCTTATTTGTGTTGGTGGTTTTTTGCTCTTTAAAAGGTTACCCTCAAATAACAATCAGCTGAACCAATCAGGTGACAGCTGGGCTGTGACCCCTGAGTTTGGCTTCAGCAGCGCAGACAGGGCATCTGCATACCGTAGCATGTGTAAGTGATCACATTTCAGCTGCACCCGCTACTTTTCTGTAAATGTGGTGCGCATGAAGGTACATTCTGCACATGATCATTAAGTTATGATCCTCATGTTGGTATTTTACTACCAGAATTAAAAAGTGAATATTTTGCAACAGGAGAAAAGCTTTGCTGCAGCATTATTTGTCAAGGTGAGGGTGGGAGTTGGTTGAGGACCCAAATGCAGAGATAAAGGAGTCAGAGATGAGTTCTTGTAGGTTTAATCAAAAACCAAAAGCATCAGAAGCAAAGTCCAAAATCAAAATACTGAAAACTAGTGATGTTATGAGATGAGTCAGGGCTTTGAGGCATGTGTTGAGTAAAGGGGGCGGTTCCCCCAAACCTGTGTGGAGGCATTATTCATTTAGGGGAGGGGCCAAAATTAATGCATCGAAAGCCTCTCTACCGTGATACAATGTGACCGCTTCAGGAGGAGGTTCAAAATCTGAGCAAACAGCTGGTTACAGCTTTAACAAGCTTTTACTGTCAAGTAGTATTGCTTTCTATAAAGCAGTTACTATTGCTGGTGGCGTCAGCTGTGAGACCTTCCACTCCTAAGGCTGTTGCTTCGAGACCCACCTCAGACTTTTGACAGTTGTGGTAATATTTATTATTTTAAGTATTTTGGCTAATGTGACTAATTTGAATAGTTTGCCCTCGTACAAATATAGATTGGGTAAAAACGCTGACAATTTAGATTGGGTGGTTCAGCCAAAAGATTTACCCAGGCCAACAATTCCTTCTAACGACCCCCCTTTCAGAGACATAGACAGGTATGGGGCATTGCAGGCTAACAAAGAAGCCAAACGACCCCCATTCCAAAGGGTGGGGGACCCGTTCATCTGTTTCAGTTTGCATGTTTTATAAAACATAAACCAGGCTTTGTTGGGCTGCTGGATAAAACCTGGAACTAAACGCTGTTTTTGACATTTGGAATTGAAAAATCTTCCTGAATGGAAGAGAAACGTCTTCAAACTTGGAAAAAAAGTCCAGTGGATTGTTTTTAACTTTTTTGGAATCACTGAGAATCTTCAGCTAAAAGATTGGTTGAACACATCAACTGTGTAAAAACTATTTGAATACAATGACTAACACCTGTCATTTTGCTCATTGTCGCCCAATTTGCACTTTCAGTGTTTGCTTGAGCTCATTTCACTAAATGGCAGAATAACAGTGAACCTTAAGATTGTTCTCTTCTAACAACAATTTTAACAATCTCTAACAACACATTTTAAGCAAAAAAAAAAAAAAACATACAAAAGATTTAATGATATAGACAAATAATAACTTAAAAGAAACTTGAATGGGAAAGAAATAGAAAAACAACTGCAAAAAATTGCAGATTATATTACTATCTGTAGTTCTGCCCTCCACCAGTAGGTGGAGACATGTTCACATAAAGCTTCATGAACTGTGGGGATCATTGAAGTAATTTGCCAATAAGGTTCAATGCCTCATGAGGCTTCATCTCACCATTACTAAAAACCAAAAATCTAGAAGATGTCAGAGAAAACACAAACAGGGAGCAAAGAGACAACACTGGAAAAACGAACTAGAAATAAGTAAAAATTTCTCAAATTATGTGGATTTCCCCTTTTTTTGAGGAGGTACATGAGATGATTTGCCAATGGAATGAGTATTTTTACTCTTAAAATAAGATATTTAGATAAAATGACAATGCAATTGCTTTTTCTTATTTTAAGTGTAAATTGTCTTGTTCCACTGGCAAAATGCCTCTTTTACCTTCTCAATTCAAGAACAAATGCACTTATTTTAAGAAAAAAGGACTCATCTAGGTTTTGATTTTTTCCAGTGAAGAAACCAGCACTGAAGAACTGCACAGGGGGAGTATATATGGGAGACAGAACAAAGGCCGGTGTAATCGGCTGATAGGGAGCAGTTGGGGATGGAAGTGACTAGAAGGGAGCTAAGCGAAAGGAGACAGGCACAAGGGGGCAGCAGAGAGTAACTAAAGACGGGCTTATATAAAACACAAAATGGAAAATAAACCAAAAACAAAACAGAATTACTTAGATAATGAAAGCTTAAAGCCCAAAAGGGGAGAACCATAAAATTATTTACTAAAAACGCACAGAGATGTGGAAAAGATTTGAAATCTTACTTCATTACACATAAATGTTTAACATAATCAAACTAATCTTAAAACAAGTCAACAATAACTAAATATGCAAAGCAGTTTCCAAATAGTTAATTTAATTATCAAGGAACGAATCTGTGACTCTATGACGAGTGAAAACATGGAAATAAAACGGGTAGGAAATAAAATAATTGAAATCTGTTGGTTTCAAAATGGAGACGTATGGCAGCCATGTTGGGAAAACCTCGCCGAGTAAAACTTGGTTAAAAAGACGACAGGATTTACGTCCAAACGACGTCTACATTTGGTTGAAAAGCCTTAATTTTTCAGATCTGGTTTATTATTGGACTAAATCAGACCGACCAATCACAGCCCAGACCGACCAATCACAGCCCAGTGTTCAAATATTTCTGGATTCAACCCAGACTCTGGCAGACCGACCAGATTCAGCCTGAAAACCAACGTCTGGAGTTTGGGAAGTTATACGCAACCCACTTGCACTGAAATCTGGATAAGTTACCGGAACTCAAATATTTTGAGGCAATCAGTTTTTCATCATCATCTCAGCATGGCAGAAGTTTGCTAGAAAATCAGAACAATTTTATTCGTCTGTCTGTATTAATCCTTACAATTATTTGGTCATCTGACTTTGACGGCATCCTATACGTAGCAGAGGGCTGCTGTTGAGCAGGGAGCCTTTAGGGTCTTGCTCAGGGACCTGAGGCTGAACATTCAAATACCAAACAGCCAGAGAAAGAGACGGGGGTTTGCTTCTTTTCGCTGAGAGTTTGATAAAGTTCAGGGTTATATGAAGGTGAAGTGGGTGGACATTTCTAATATTACGGTTACAGTAAAACGTTGGAAATGGGTTTTAACGCAGTGAAGAACCTTCAGGAAGTGGTTTACAGCCAACACATCTGCAGCAGCTGTTTGATGCCATTATCATGTGGAACATTTTCTGCTCTATTGAATACGCATCATAAAAAATCACAGCAGGCCAGATCAGGTTCAAGGTGTTGCTTGATTATTCTAAGAATAAAATCAGGATTTCTAAATTCATTAAACCTAAAATAAGGTTTTCTTATTTATATTCAGACCAACATCTTTTTGTTTTAGAAATGTTGATCTCTTAAAAAAGGATTCCTTTTCTCCTTCCCAGAGATCCATCAGGAGAGAAGAATCAAGATTACAGTGAGATCGGAGGAGAGGAGCCCCAGCTAATCAGGAGGATATTGCTGATTTCACATGAGAGGCTTTCCCTCGCAGAAACAGCCAGATGAACCGTAAACAAAGCACTGACTTCCTCCAACCTTCCTCCACCTTCTGCAGCAGAAAGGAAGCAAAACGTTTATATTGTTGTATTTTATCTGCAAAACTTCTAACCGCCTTTCTGCCTATTAGCTCGGCTGTGGATCGCATGTACGACCTTAGATGCACATCACTCACCTGTTTTAGGTGCTAACTCTGATACTGAACTTGACTTTGATACTGAATTTGACTTTGGAGGTAGTTTTTCTGGTACGTGAGTCACAGATGAGAGCAGATGAGAAGGTAGGATTATATTAAGGCAAACAGAAACAGGAGTCCGAATCTAAAACCATATGAGGCCTGCAGACCACAGGAACCACAGCGTCATGATGTTTTTAGGTTTACACTAGAAGCAACATCCATTAGTGTTCATTATTACAGCAGATCTTTTCTAATGTTGGTCTTGTTCTAGTTGTCAGAGTCTATATTACTGTCAGTTGATGTGCTGAGTTATGTTGATCATAGTGGGTGATTCCCGGCCTTTCTGCGTGGAGTTTGCATGTTCTCCATGTGCAGTATGGGTTCTCTCCTGGTACCCCGGCTTCCTCCAACAGTCTGACAACATGAACTGGTGTCATTAGGTATGTGTGAATGGTTGTGTGTCTGTGTTGCCCCTCGACCTGTCCAGGGTGGACCCCGCCTCTCGGCCATGGCTGAGGAGAGGCACCAGCCCCACCATGACCCTGATGGATGCAGTCAGAAGAGATGGAGGAACTTTTCTTTTAGTCTGTTTGCTGTGAAAGTGGCGACAGTTTTTTCTCTCAGTTAAAATAATATCCAGTGATCCTGAAAGGAAAAGTCCGGTCATCAAGGAATAACAGTGGATCCATTTTTATACCTAAAACTAATAAGTTGGCTGTGATTTCATGAATTTAGCCTTAATCAGTAAAAAAATTAAAACAATAATTTTCGTTGCGATCACTGAGTCTGTGAGCGGCCATTTTTACCCAAATATAGTAGCCCCTCCCTCCTGCCATCTTCCAGCAGTGACATCACGGTGCGGTTAGCCTAGCGCCATTCTCCCCGCTTTCCAAGCTAAATCAATGGGAACTACTAGACACATCTGCAATCAACAAAAATTATTGAAGATTTCCAGAGG